TTCCATCACGGCCCCACTCCCCCTGACACTCCCCCTGACACTCACCCTGACGCTCACCCTGACGCTCACCCTGACGACATCAGGCTGCAACGCCTCATTGGCCTGCACGCTCTCTTGATACCTCCATCATCATTATCATAATAATAATAATAATAATAATAATAATAATAATAGCAGTGCTGAGTCACTCACACGTCTTACTGTACTTCTTTGACACAAATTACTGTTCGCTATTTGAGGTTACTGACTTTGATATGAAACACTTATTTTACTTGACTCAGATTCAGTCCTTTGGCCCCTCAATGAATGTAAGATTTTGATAACTATGAAATCACGATTGAAAATGAAACATTATAAATGGAGGTGATACTGAATATCTGAGATTTGGTTCTCGCTTTTGATGAGCTCCCGATAAAGACAGCAAGCTAATCAAACACGTGGCTTCACAAAATGGCAATATGGTGCACTAAAATGTGTAGGCCTGTCGACATTACCATAGATGTACTTCTTTAGCCAAAAAAATCATACTTTTTCATAAACAGTATTTCATTGACATACTAACGTTTGGTAACATCAAATGTAGTATTTTTCCCTATTCCTCCAGAACTAAACAATACCCAGACTGTTTAGGCCCTATAAAAATGCACTAAAGTAGCGTTTAGGTCTCCCAAGCCCTGGTTACTGCATGGCTTCTGAATGAATGCATGCGTGTTCCAGAGGCAAGACTGACATAATAATTCTAATGGCACTGGAGGAGATGGCTGCCATTTTTACGGGCTCCTAACCATCTGTGCTATTTTATAAGTTTTTCTGCGTTGTTTGTAACTTATTTTTTTACTTATTGTGTACATAATGTTGCTGCTATCGTCTCTTATGACCGAAAATAACTTCTGGACATCAGAACAGCAATTACTCACCTCGAACTGGACAAATATTTTTTATTTAACAAGTCCGATGCGAAGGAAATACTGCTTTCTCGGGAACGAGCCCAAATCCCCATAATTAGCGTGAAGAAAAGACAGAGAAAAATGGGGCGGGGGTTGGGCTGCCTTCTGAGAATTTGTAGGCGAGTGAGTAAACCTCCACTACCATCCGTTCTATTGGCCAACGTGCAATCATTGGAAAACAAAATGGAGGATCTACAATCAAGAATATCCTACCAACGGGACATTAAAAACTGTAATATCTTATGTTTCACCGAGTCGTGGCTGAACGACGACACGGATAATATAGAGCTGGCTGGATTTTCCATGCATCGGCAGGACAGAGAAGCTATGTCTGGTAAGACGAGGGAGCAGGGGTGTGTGTCTATTTGTCAATAACAGCTGGTGCGCGATGTCTAATATTAAAGAAGTCTCGAGGTATTGCTCGCCTGAGGTAGAGTACCTTATGATAAGCTGTAGACCACACTATCTACCAAGAGAGTTCTCATCTATATTATTTGTAGCCGTCTATTTACCACCACAAACCGATGCTGGCACTAAGACCGCACTCAACGAGCTGTATAAGGCCATAAGCAAACAAGAAAATGCTCATCCAGAAGCGGCGCTCCTACTGGCCGGGTACTTTAATGCAGGCAAACTTAAATCCGTTTTACCTAATTTCTACCAGCATGTCACATGTGCAACCACAGGGAAAAAAACTCTAGACCACCTTTACTCCACACACAGAGACGCATACAAAGCTCTCCCTCGCCCTCCATTTGGCAAATCTGACCATCATTCCATCCTCCTGATTCCTGCTTACAAGCAAAAACTAAAGCAGGAAGTACCAGTGACTCGCTCAATACGGAAGTGGTCAGATGACGTGGATGCTACGCTACAGGACTGTTTTGCTAGCACAGACTAGAATATGTTCCGGGATTCATCCAATGGCATTGAGGAGTATACCACCTCAGTCATCAGCTTCATCAATAAGTGCATTGACGACGTCGTCCCCACAGTGACCATACGTACATATCCCAACCAGAAGCCATGGATTACAGGCAACATCCACATCGAGCTAAAGGCTAGAGCTGCCGCTTTCAAGGAGCGGGACACTAATCCGGACGCTTATAAGAAATCCCGCTACGCCCTCAGACGAACCATCAAACAGGCAAAGCGTCAATACAGGATTAAGATTTAATCCTACTACACCGGCTCTGACGCTCGTCGAATGTGGCAGGGCTTGAAAACTATTACGGACTACAAAGGGAAACCCAGCCGCGAGCTGCCCAGTGACGCGAGCCTACCAGACAGGCTAAATGCCTTTTATGCTCGTTTCGAGGCAAGCAACACTGAAGCATGCATGAGAGCACCAGCTGTTCCGGACGACTGTGTGATAACGCTCTCGGTAGCCGATGTGAGCAAGACCTTTAAACAGGTCAACATTCACAAAGCCGCGGGGTCAGACGGATTACCAGGAAGTGTACTCAAAGCGTGTGCGGACCAACTGGCAAGTGTCTTCACTGACATTTTCAACCTCTCCCTGACCGAGTCTGTAATGCCTACACTACCAGTCAAAAGTTTGGACATACCTACTCATTCAAGGTTTTTCTTTCTTTTTAAAATGTTTGACATTGTAGAATAATAGTGAAGACATCAAAACTATGAAATAACACATATGGAATCATGTAGCAAACAAAAAAGTATATTTTATATTTGAGAATCTTCAAATAGCCACCCTTTGCCTTGATGACAGCTTTACCCGCTGTCTATTATCTATGTACAGTGAGGGAAAAAAGTATTTGATCTTCTGCTGATTTTGTACGTTTGCCCACTGACAAAGACATGATCAGTCTATAATTTTAATGATAGGTTTCTTTGAACAGTGAGAGACAGAATAACAACAAAAAAATCCAGTTCTGGAGACTGGCTAGGCCACTCTAGGACCTTAATGTGCTTCTTCTTGAGCCACTCCTTTGTTACCTTGGCCGTGTGTTTTGGGTCATTGTCATACTGGAATACCCATCCACGACCCATTTTCAATGCCCTGGCTGATTTGAAGGAGGTTCTCACCCAAGGTTTGACGGTACATGGCCCCTTCCATCGTCCCTTTGATGCAGTGAAATTGTCCTGTCCCCTTAGCAGAAAAACACCCCCAAAGCATAATGTTTCCACCTCCATGTTTGACGGTGGGGATGGTGTTCTTGGGGTCATAGGCAGCATTCCTCCTCCTCCAAACACGGCGAGTTGAGTTGATGCCAAAGAGCTCGATTTTGGTCTCATCAACACTTTCACCCAGTTCTCCTCTGAATCATTCAGATGTTCATTGGCAAACTTCAGAAGGGCCTGTATATGTGCTTTCTTGAACAGGGGGACCTTGCGGGCGCTGCAGGATTTCAGTCCTTCACGGCATGGTGTGTTACCAATTGTTTTCTTGGTGACTATGGTCCCAGCTGCCCTGAGATCATTGACAAGATCCTCCCGTGTAGTTCTGGGCTGATTCCTCACCGTTCTCATGATCATTGCAACTCCACGAGTTGAGATCTTGCATGGAGCCCCAGGCCGAGGGAGATTGACAGGTCTTTTGTGTTTCTTCCATTTGCGAATAATCGCACCAACTGTTGTCACCTCCTCACCAAGCTGCTTGGCGATGGTCTTGTAGCCCATTCCAGCCTTGTGTAGGTCTACAATCTTGTCCCTGACATCCTTGGAGAGCTCTTTGGTCTTGGCCATGGTGGAGAGTTTGGAATCTGATTGATTGATTGCTTCTGTTGACAGGTGTCATATATACAGGTAACAAGCTGAGATTAGGAGCACTCCCTTTAAGAGTGTGCTCCTAATCTCAGCTCGTTACCTGTATAAAAGACACCTGGGAGCCAGAAATCTTTCTGATTGAGATACTTATTTCCCTCATTTAAAATGCAAATCAATTTATAACATTTTTGACATGCGTTTTTCTGGATTTTTTTTTTTTATTCAGTCTCTCACTGTTCAAATAAACCTACCATTAAAATTATAGACTGATCATTTCTTTGTCAGTGGGCGAACGTACAAAATCAGCAGGGGATCAAATACTTTTTTCCCTCACTGTATAGTCACTTTACCCCTACCTACATGTACAAATTACCTCGACTAACCTTACCCCCACACATTGACTTGGTACCGGTACCCCCTGTATATAGCCTCGTTATTGTTATTTTATTGTGTTACTTTAGTTTATTTCATAAATATTTTCTTAACTCTTTCTTGAACTGCATTGTTGGTTAACGGCTTGTAAGTAAGCATTTCACGGTAAATAAAGTTTGATTTGATTTAAAGCAAACTCCTAAAACGGGCCTTAACACTTCACTCCCTCAAAATATGAAAATGGTAGAATGATTAGCAGGAGTTTGCCGAGGAGGGATAGGATAAAGCATTGCTGTTTGTTGGTGGAGCCAAACAGTGGCCGTGTTATCCTGTTTTGATTGGTGAATTATGGCATGACATTTATGATATGTTCATGTTGTTCTTCGTGCATATTTCAACGCACCAAAGCTCCGCGCTTTTTATAAGCTGTGCTCATGTCACGTAAACCAGTAGGGTATTAATCTGTTAACTGTGCTGCATGATTTCAAGTTACAGTTTAATTTTACAGGCCACTTCATGCACAAAAAGCACAATCAATGCCGAAAGCCATTAAACATTACGCTGAGAAGGCTCTCTGTAATACGTTTGTGAGATTTGTAGAAGTTTTCCATATGTCTAGTAACAGTAAGTTTAACAGTAAATAAAATGTCACTTGCTATTAACCTGGGTTCTATATCACATTTGGAGAGAAAATAAATCCCATGAAAAAGTGCAGCTGCAGCAGAATCCTTTCATGATGTCATGGGCCTGTCTCAGACACATTACTAGAGGATGGCGTTGGTGTCTTCTCAGCTGAACACCTCTGTCTCTTATTTTGGCATCAGTCCAGTACACATCCATAATCCACTGATTGTGTTCAGTAGGAAGGAAATATTTTGAAACGGGGAGGCATTTGAACTTGTCCAATACGAACCGTGACAAAATAAATTGCTACGGTGTGCCCTACTGAACATGACCCATGAGGTCAAAACCCAGCAGTTGGCCATGCTGTGGACTGTTGAGTTGAACTGTTTTATTGAGCTGCACATCTGCCATAATGGGTGTGCCGGTGGTCCGTATTCCAGGGTACCTCCTTCATTCCCTATGCCAACAAAAGGGAGGATGAATAAAGCTGCCTAGTGCTTTGATATCAGGCCTCTGTCACCCATCATAGTAATGGCATATTATACACCATAATAGAGCATAAGTCATTATAATAGTACAGGTGTGAGGGGAGGACAGTATAGATTTGGGAGAAGATAGATTGAAGATTCAGCCTGTTCTTGTCTTCTTCCAGTGGATACAGAGTAAGCCTGAAGAGGAAAGTTGCTGAGACCACCAAGGACTGTGGGAGATTGTGGTCTGGGTGTGACTATGGCTCGGTTCGATACACCCTCGGAGTAGAGACAACTCTCAAAATCCAGCATGAAGGGTAGTAGCTCAATGTCAATTTGTGGATGATATTGAAGGGAACGGAAACCCCCTACTGATCGGTCTGCAAGGCACAGTGAGGTAATGTTGGAAGTGAGAGGTATCCCCTCTGGTTTTATTAAACCCTGCAGCTTTCACTAGGGGTGTATGACCCCCCCAGACCCCCCTCAAGTCATTTTCCCAACCCTCCCCAATGCTCCAACAGTTGTTTGGTTTAAATGAGGCTGGTGGCGATTAACTGTGTTATGTCAAGTTTATTCGCTGGCAGTTACTCGCTCGATTAAATGTTCCACTTGGTCCCCAGCAGTAGACGCAGTGGAACAGTGCAACGAGTCCCTGTGCTATCACTGTGTGTTTTTAAAAAGCCATGACGCCGGGGACCACGCAGCACTACACTCACTGTCTCCTGTGAAGTGATACACCTTTGTTAATGGGAATGTGTGAAATGAATAAGCCTATTACAAATCTGAATACTGTCTTAATGTCTTGACTGACCAAATTGTATTGTTTATCAGAAGAAAACTAGCATACACACTCATTGTGTTGCCCCAAATCTACTAATGAGGGAGGTAGATTACATTTCTCTAATGTTTAGCCTATAGGCTGCTAACTAACTTGACTTTCTAAAGTCCCTTCATTGTATTACTTGGACACAGCCGACTCCAGAGGTTAAAACCAGTCCGAGCATATTTCCTTATCATTTATATTTCTCCCTTTGGCTCTGACCTAACATGATTTCTTACAAAGTATTTGTCTCTCTAAATGTTCTGAGATTCACCACAATGACGACTGGCTTTTAAAGTAAACACTCATGGTGACTGGGGTTAGGTGGAGTCATCGGTCTTGACGAGTGATGATCCATTCTGCTATCTCTATGTGCTAGGAGGCCTAAACAGTTGATTTCGTGTTTGCAGTCACTTCCTGGGGGTAGTTAACTTGACATACAGTTTGTCAGGAATGGAGAGAAACCAGATCAGCCAGGAAGATCGTTTCAACCTGATAAGTGGAAATGGCTACATTAACACAGGTTAAAAAAAGAAACACCGTAACTGTAGGCTTTTCTTGCGCTCAGTGTCCACAGACCGATGACACATGAAGCTAGAATCTGTTTGGGAGAGAAGTTGTGGTTTTTGGCAATTTTAAACTGTATTTGCTGTTCTAAATTTGTACTCGTTGTCATTGGTAGTCCTCACAAGATTGAAAACATTTATTATTTCTGGCAATTTTAACGAAAGAAATATGAATTTATGCCTTAACATATCAATCATTGCATTCCTATATTATTAAATACAGTATTGTTTTATACTTTATGTGTAGTCATTTACTGCACTTTATTAAGTCTTCTCTCGGCATGCATGAAAATATAATTAATTGTCCAATTTATAATTCAAATGTATACATAGCCCATGTTTATTTTCATTAGGGAGGCACTTTGAGTCTCTGGGTCAGGATTGTTCTCTGGTATTCCTGTGAGGGAATGTGATAACCTAACTCTCCCTGCGACTGCCAGAGCAAAATAACACATGCCTACTCTCCCATGTCTTAGGATTGGGTCACAAATTCTATACGTTAGTTAGTCTTTAGTAAATATGGAGCAGGTTTTTTGAAAGAAACATTTTGTCTATTGGGGGGGGGTTCAGTGATACTAGTGGGGTGGGGGGTGAACAAGTCTATGGGAACATGCTAGCTGTTTCCATAGACTTCCAGTCATTGAGCCAACGACTATCCATTTAAAAGCGCGTCTTGGCAGAAAAATATATATTGACAAAAAATGCGGCCACAATTTAGCAGCAGTGGGCCACCACTGCGAAATGAATATAGGGGAAACACTGTTGTCCTTACATGCATAATAGCTTACCAAAAGCATCACTGGTTAGCCTAGCCAGCCTTTTTTATTGTTCTTGCAAATCATGTGCTTCTAGTATTTCTAGGGATATGTTCATTATTTGAACACATCTTTTTATTTTCCTCCATAACAGGTCGAAGAGTGTTAACTGTCACATGTATGACTATACAACAATGGAAGACAACAAGGATAGTTTTTCCTTGTATTCCCTGTCAGTCATCACAGCACAGAGAAACCTTAGTCAATAGGTTTAATTGCTTCATCTTCACTTCTCCCCATGGTCCGGTTTACTTAGTGTCCTGCCACTCTGCCACTCCCCGGCACCATTCTGTTAATGTTGCCTAATCTGACTCTGACAGATGATTGATAACCCTTCCCAAGTGTTCAGGATCCAAAGGATTAGCACCGTTTACTTCTGGTAGCATGCAGGGTACCTCCGCTCTTAGTGACGGGAATTAATAGCGTGCTGACGCCTACAAGACAGCCATGTTTATGCGTGCGGAGAGACGCGACAACCTGCTTTGGTCTGTAGCGTAATTGGTGACTGTGTGTGTGTGTCCAGGGGGACTGGAAAGGTTTGTGTACATTCCAGACTCATATGTCATCACATATACAATTACCTTTTCCAAGTTATGTGGCGTCAACATTCTTAGAAGGATTCACATGACATAAAAATGACAAAGCACTGTAGAAAATGTGCCTTTCTCTTGGAAATGGCTATGGATGGCTATGTGTTGCTATGGATTGCTATGTGTTGCTATGGATGGTGACTGGCCTTTTATATTTGGGTCACTGACCTACAATGTTGTTATTTATGATACTGGAGGACACTGTTTACATTGCTCTTTAGAACACACACACAGGGTTGGGTAGGTTACTTTCTAAATGTTGTACGTGTAAGTTACCAACTAGTTACCTGTCCAAAATTGTAACATTAACTTTTGGATTTGGAAACTCAGTAACGTAATCTGATTACTTTCTGTTACTTTTGGATTACTTTCCCCTTAAGAGGCATTAGAAGAAGACTAAAAGGATCCATCAAACTCATTTAGTGTGTCATCATAGTGGTCTCTGACTTGTGGTCAGACTCAGGTGGAACAAAGTTAAACTTGCGTATTTTTTCAATGCTGAATTGAATGTCATTGTGAAAACAGAAAGGTGTTAATGTACTGTATTTTTTTCACCAACATCCTTTCTGAATTTAAAAGTAATCCTAGAAGTAATCATCTAGTTTTTCAAAAGTGTCTGTAATCTGATTAAAATAATTTTGCTGGTAATGTAACGGATTATAGTTACAGTTTTTTTGTAATCAGATTACAACCCTGCGCGCACACACACACCTAAACCAAGTGGCATGAGAACGGCAGAAAACATTGACAGCTTGAATGAAGCTTCACACAAAGAGCTGAGCTAAACTTGGGGGGGGGAAATGCAACACCGTACAGTAGCTTACTACCTCCTACAGCTCCCATAGACACGTATGCACCAGATACCGGGCGTGGCCGCCTTGTCACACAAAGCCAGAAATAAAGAGGGAAGCTATTGCTTTCAGCAGCGAGACCCCCAGGTGACCTTCCCTTGTGACCTTGGTGTGACCCCGTATTGAGGAAGGGGAAAAGTGAAACGCCTGGTATCACTGCACCAGACTTGAATGCACAGAGACGCAGGCACAGTGGCTAGAAAGGAAGGCTCTGTCATTGTGCGCATGCCGTAATCACACACCTAGGTTATAGGCCCATGTGTGCACATGTGTGCACCTTAAAGGCCTGATTTAATTCAATATGTCATTACATGATATGTCATGGCTTTCTCTCGGCAGACACCCATACTTCGGGGTAGCCTGAAGTCTTTGGTCATCCATGTATTGTGTTTGAAGAGCCACAGCTGGGCTCTTTTGACTTGGTTCATGTAGAGGTAGATATAAAGGTGCATGGCTTCAGGGTGTAACTGTACCAGGCCTGAGTTATGGAATGTGTGACACTGAGCTGTAGGCTAATCACACCTGGAAATGGAGGCCAGGGGTCTCTGAATGTATCACTTCCTCCTCCGAAAGGATCTTCTCAAAATATATTTCTGAAAAAGGTGCCTTAACTGAACGTGACACACAATAATTGAAGTATGTTGCCAGTTATCTATATCAGGCAGATCCTGAGTCTATCTTGAGCTGGTGTAAACCTTATCTTTTCTGTGCAAGTCCAGATATGAGGTTCGCCCTGTCTCTGTACAGTATAACCTTGTGTCAAGTCAATCTTGCTATCTGTGTAATTTGCTGACATTTTGTCCACAGTCGACCTTGAGCATATGAGGACGGTGAAGGTTGACAAACACCAGCGCTTCTGCCAAGAGAACAGCCTCATCAGTCAGTTCGTATCAGCCAAGTCTGGAGACTCGGTGAGTCGGTTTACCCAGTAAATCACATCAAAGTGGCACACACGCACAATCTTTTTCAAATCCGGAAATACTGATGTTTTGCTGTGAAGAAGATGTAGTCTGTATTCCTGCTCATCTCTCCTCCTTTGCTGCCCTGCTTTCCCTTCAGGTGTTCCTGGCATTCCAGAGAGTGGCTGCAGAGATTCTGGGGGTGAAGCTCAACAAAGCGGAGCTGGAGCAGTCCCAGGTGAGACATGTCTTCATTAGGCCTTTTATCTCACATTTCCCAGAGAGAATTGACCCTTCGCTAAGCCCCGCCCGCCTTGGTTACTGTTGCAACCTCAGACAGCATTCCCCCTTCTAACCACTGGCGAAATCCCCTCACAGTGATCTCAAAATGTGTTTTTTAATACACAATGAAATTAAACACAGACTACCCCTTGCTAATCAGGAGACCCTCTTTTATGTTGTGGTGGACTTTCATTACGATCATTTCAATCACAGGAACCTGGTAAAATGAAGGTTGTAGTGTGTCAGCATGCAGCCAAAGTTACTAACCACTTCTGGAGATAACTAGTGCTCTCAAATTGTATCCTGATGTCGGCAGCAGATGAGAGTTGTATTCATAACATGGCTAACTTACAGTGAGCTCCAAAAGTATTGGAACAGTGATTTTTGTTTTGTTGTTTTGGCTCTGTACTCCAGCAGTTTGGATTTGAAATGATACAATGACTATGAGGTTAAAGAGCAGACTATCAGCTTTAATTTTAGGGTATTTCTCATCCGTATCGGGTGAACCGTTTAGAAATTACAATAATTACAAAGTAGTCGAAAGTTAATTATTTGGTCCCTAATTCATAGCACGCAATTTATTTATTTATTTTATTTCACCTTTATTTAACCAGGTAAGCCAGTTGAGAACAAGTTCTCATTTACAACTGCGACCTGGCCAAGATAAAGCAATGCAGTGCGATAAAAAACAACAACACAGAGTTACATATGGGATAAACAAAACATAAAGTCAAAAATACAACAGAAAATATATATACAGTGTGTGCAAATGTAGCAAGTTATGGAGGTAAGGCAATAAATAGGCCATAGTGCAAAATAATTACAATGTAGTATTAACACTGGAATGATAGATGTGCAAAAGATGATGTGCAAATAGAGATACTGGGGTGCAAATGAGAAAACATTTCAGATGGGCTGTGTACAGGTGCAGTGATCGGTAAGGTGCTCTGACAACTGATGCTTAAAGTTAGTGAGGGAGATAAGAGTCTCCAGCTTCAGAGATTTTTGCAGTTCGTTCCAGTCATTGGCAGCAGAGAACTGGAAGGAATGGCGGCCAAAGGAGGTATTGGCTTTGGGGATGACCAGTGAGATATACCTGCTGGAGCGCAGACTACGGGTGGGTGTTGCAATGACTACATCAAGCTTGCGACTATACACATTTGTTGGATTCATTTGCTGTTTGTTTTGGCTGTGTTTCAGATTATTTTGTGCCCTATAGAAATGAATGGTAAATAATGTATTGTGTCATTTTACATTTGGAGTAACTTTTTATTGTAAATAAGAATAAAATATATGTCTAAAGACTTCTACATTAATGTGGATGCTACCATGATTACGGATAATCCTGAATGAATCGGTAATAATGATGAATGAGAAAGTTACAGACGCACAAATATCATACCCCCCTCCCAAAGAAAATGCTAACCTCCCGTTATTGTAATGGTGAGAGGTTAGCATGTCTTGGGGTATGATATTTGTGCGTCTGTAACTTTCTCATTCATCATTATTAACGATTCATTCAGGATTATCCGTAATCATGGTAGCATCCACATGAATGTAGAAGTCTTTAGAATATTCTTTTTTATAATAAAAGTGACTGCAAAATGACACACTACATTATTTAACATTCATTTCTATTGGGCACAAAATAATCTGAAACACAACCAAAACAAGCAGCAAATGCATCCAACAAGTTTGTAGAGTCACAAACTTGATGTAATCATTGCATTTTAGGAAATGATGTAGCAGCCCCTCAAGTCATGTCGACATTGTTTGGACGGTTTCATATAATCACACGCATGTACACGAGGTCAAACAGAGTGTGCCAGGTCACAGTGATGCTGTACCTGTGACTGTCCATCTGTAAATACAGCCACATTGACGACGTTAGAGCCCAATCGTGCGTGAAGCAAGAGGTCAAGAGGTTGGCGGTGTAGGGTGGGAAGGTTAGGATGCGTTCTCTGATTTATTGAGTTTATCTCCCTCGGAGCTCGGCCTCTGCGAACCAGCCAGACCAGGTGGCCCCGTCACTGGTGACAGAGGTGGGATTACTCAGGGCACCTCCCACAGAGGCATTCATCCTGCTTGTGATATGACTGGTCGGTGCCACGCTGGCTAGAGAGTGGCTGATGAGGCTGGGGCTATGGGGAGGTCAGGACCCCCAGAGAAGGGAGAGGACCAAGGGAGCGAAGGCTAGGAGACGACTCTCAAACACACTTCCACCCCCACCCTGCCTTTTTGCTGTCAACAGACAGGCTAATGAAGGTGTCCATCTCCGCTCCCCTCCGTCACCTCCCATGATAGCTACCTCAATAAACCCAAGTGCTTTAATCCAAGCTAAACAAGCTGGATGAGTGGTCTGATCTAGGGCTGTTGAGGTGACCGTATTACCGCCACACCAGCAGTCATGAGTCATGACCGCAGTAAAATTCGACGTGACCGTTGAGTCACGGTAATCTCCTTTTATGCACTCTGGACATGTGTTGGTAGTACCTAATTCATTAACGACCTTCAGGTTACTAATGACCTGGTACTCAGTACTCTATTGTCCTTCTAACCACGCTGACATTAATGCAAATGCAATCGAAAATCAAATCAAACACTTATCAAAACAGTATCGTGCTTTTAAAACTCACCTCACTGTAATCGATCAATTTGAAGAAAGAAGTTTAACAACAGGTTGAAACTGAGTGGAAAACATGGTGGTTGTGGATGTTGTTTCAAAGCCTAACACAACAAAATGGACAGCGCTTTCTAAGGTGATGATTAATTCAAAACGCCCATACACATACTGTATTAGAGCTTATGCATACGCATAGGCTTATGAGCCCGGGGGAAAAAAAGGAATTAAAATGATTGTGCCATTATACAATTCATAGCCTACCACATATTACGCACAGCAGAAAAACATTTAAAAAACTGATTTAAGATGTCTTTGGTACATAATTGGTCCAGCCTATACTCCAAAATTAAACAAATTATAGTAATCGCCTTTGAGTGTGGACTGTAATATTATGCATACTGGATGGACTGGTTACCTTATGCTACACTCCAAAATCTCTGTCCATGAGTGGGAGAGAACTTATAGGCCTAGGCCATGCTGTTGTTTTATTGATTGTGCAGGCAGCTTACGGAGTTAGCCTACAATTATAGTGAATTTGTATTTGATTTTGAAGAGCCTAGTAATGGGGCATTTTTTTATATTTTTTTAATAATTAATAGGCTGACACATGACCTTTTAGCTACAGAATATCTCACCACCGTGCGTTTCCATCTCCTCCTCTCTCTCCTTCATTCCTTTCTCAAGTGCGCTGTCGCGCAGCGTTCTCCTCAAACAGTGGTTGATGTGTGGAGTGAAATAAATGTTCTTATAAGCCCAGACATTTCTATATGTAATCCCGTGTGAAAGCAGAGTTTTGATGGTTGCTCATATTAAGCGCATGCTCCGCTATAAAACCGGAGTAGCCTACCTGGCATGATTGAAAAACTAACAGACTTTCTCAAATCATCAATAGCCTATAGTCGCATCATGCAGCCCATATATGTTTTGACATTCTAAGGTTTGTATCATTTACAACTAAAGTTGCCAAATAACTCTAAATCTAGCGTATAGGACCTGTTTCAAATGATCACTTTTATGCTCAACATACCCACTTCATATGCGCAGTCGCTCCGGAATGGGAAAAATATCCTTTCTATTTTATTCAGCTAAGTTCAAATATATTATTTTTACTATAAAATCATATAATATAAAATAATGGCCTGGGACTTATAAGCATATCTTGTCACCTAATGAGCAAGCCTACAGCCTATGGCATGGAGCATAGTCAGATAACATACAGTAGGCCAACTCATATTCTGTTCTGAAATACATTTTCTTCATATCATAATGTTTCTTTAGACCTGCCTAAAATAAATAATGGATTTATTGTGATGGTTTATATTCAATTGATTTATTCAACGTTTTTTTAAATGTAGATGTTCCAAAGGCGTGCATCAGCTACTTGTATGTGGCTTGTATGAGTGGAGGCCTGGAGATGCTAAACATGTTTGTTTATTAACGGTCAATTACCGTGAGACCGGCAGTCTTTTGCATGACAATAACCGTCTGACACAATTTAATGACCGCCATAGCCCTAGTCTGACCTGATCTGCCTGTCACAGAGACGTAATCTATGGCTTCCATGGGTCACTTCAGGGATGCAAGATTCTTTTTCTACATAAAATAAGTAATATTTTAGTGAAGACTATCCTACTTCAATGGTGTATCTTCATCTTGGATAGAGAATGGGTCAGGTTTCTAGGCTACAGTAGTTGAAGGCCTCAACATTCACTGGAGAAAAAATAAGTCTGCCCAAAATCTGTCTGTTTTTCTACTTTGTTGCTGTGCAGTGCTATCAATGAGAGAAGTGATGTTCTGATTGGTAGGCAAATGGATTTGGGGAAGGAGGTCAAGGGCAGCTCCAGGTTATTGTTGGGGGGCAGAAAAGCCTGATTATCAGCTGTCAGGTTTAGAGAGCTGTACATGGGGGTCAGGGCCCCTGACAAGATCTTATCGGCCTGGGAGCCCACTCCATCATGGTCCCTTGTCTGGAAGATCAGATACTGGGGCCGCTGATCACTCACAGGGTCCGACCCCAGGCATCGGCAGCTCGTTAATCAGAATGGCCAACCAGTGCCTGGGTTACAACCACGATCTCTGCTTTTTGCTGGCTCCCCAATCCAGGTCTGAGGTTTAACTGTAAGTTCAGAACCCGTCCGTCCAGTTACTGTTACTCAATATCCAGGGCCCGTATTCATGAAGCTTCTCGGAGAAGAACTGCTGATCTAGAATCAGTTTAGCCTTTTAGATCATAACTCATAAGATTACCTGGACATGGGGGGGGGACAGGACCTTTATACCTTTCCTCAATGAAGATGTAATGGTTGATTTAAAACTTGGCATGGTAAAATTTTAGTAGATGAGGAGCTGAGAATGCACACCCAAAAACAGTTAATAAAGTGCAGACTAGTGGCTTAAACTTTAAAAAAATTAAAGTCTCACTCCCAGATCTTTATTGAATGGATAAACCAATATTTGGCACACACAATTCATATCAGGCTGGGAGTATTATAATACATGAGTGTTCTTCATTTGTACATGGCAAAATGTTTCACAAATGTATTTTGTCCATGGACTGTGTAAACCTGGGAACTTCTCATTAGTATGTTCTTCTGTTAAATCCATTTGTCACGTGTTTCTTTCTCATTTCTCTCCCTGTCACCTCCACGACCCTGTCTTCACCTCTCCCTGTCCTCCATTCCAACCAACTGTACCCCCCGTCTGCATCTTTTTTTCCCCTTCCTGTCCTCTCTCTCCTTTCATTCCATACCTCACCTCCTCTGCCCACGCACCTCCTTTTCTATCCCTCTCTCCTGCTGGGTTTTGTCTCCTTCCGTCCCTCCATCTCTCTGCTGGTGTGGTGGTGTGTTGTGCTGCTCAGAGGATCGTGAAAGCTGAGCTGGTGGACTACCCTCAGGACGAAGCCCCCATTAGACAAGAGACCAATCAGAGCAAAATCTGTTCTGTTCAATAGTTGGAAGTATGTTTACACACAGTCACACATAGATGTATTTATCTCCTGAAATATATCTATTAGTGCCTGGTGTAAAAACACAATTAAAGCATCTTATAAAGTGGTTGTGGTGGTAATGGTAGCTGTTTTCATTGTATTTTAATTGTGGGAATTGAGTTAGTTATTAGTTAGTTTGTAATTCAAGAAGAAAGGTTTGATAATTAACGTTAACCAAGAAAATCTTAGGTTGGTTGGGCTTACAGTAGTTTGGCACAAAAAATATATTACTCCAACTAATTGTATGTGACATCACTGATAAAAGCAAAATGAGATGCCACATATAGAAGATGTTGCCAGGAATTCTGACTCTTTTAGTTTGCTGCATCAGTGTGATCCAGAGAAGTGGGCTTGGCCCCCAGACATAGTTTGTGTCAGACTGACCTTTGTCTGACCTGTTTCTAAGCTTGTGATTGACTTTGAGCTGGATGCATCTGCAAAAAGACTGTAGAGTAGATATTTACTGTAGGTCTTTACTGTATATCAGATCTTTACTGTAGATCAGATCTTTACTGTAGATCAGATCTTTACTGTAGAGCAGATTTTCCATCTTTATTTTTACCACAACATTCATCCATTAACTTGTATACTTCAGTTTACATGTTTTTCTGAATGTGACAAATTAAATGTATTTGATTTATACAAGTAAGGTCTGGGGCCTGGGAAGGAAGACCTGGGATCTACTTTAAGTGGTCCATATAGATTTCTGGACTATGCCGGAACAAATGGCAAATATTTAGTAGCATCAGTTAGGTAATTTAATCTTAAATTGTATAATTTGTGAATAAATCAGATGGATTTTCTAGTGTGGAGGCAACTTTCTCATACCTCTCTTTATGTCTGTGTGTCTCCATAGCGCGTGGTGAAGGCAGATATCGTGAACTACAGTCAAGAGCCTGTGACGAGGACAGTCAACCCCCCGCGCAGCTCCATGTGTGTGGTGCAGTGACTCCCTCTCCCCCCACCTTCCCTCTTGCCCCTCCACAAACTGAATACAGCAGTGAGGGCCTCTGACCAGCAGGCTGCCCCAACACACTGGCCCATAGCCAGAGCTGGGGAATTGAGCTGGCCTGGTTCTTTCTGCTGTACGCACACACCTGCTGTACACACACACACTGATTCCTCCCTTCTCTCTCTCAACGCACAAGTCTTCAGAAAGGCTGTAAATCAGTATTTCCTTTTTTTAAAGGTTTTCAGGGTCATCGGACCAAGTACTGCATATTTGAAGATTAATATATGAGAATCTCTCTGTATGTCCAGTATGTATATTTACAGGGACCCCACAGTTTATTCCTGGTTTCAGTACATTTAATATATTTTCATGAATAATTTTTTGAGTAGTAATCAGCTTTGGCTACAGCATACTCCTGTTTAAACATTAAGTTATGCTGAAAGGAAATGGGACCTCCACTTTTCTAGCAGTTTGAACACGTTTGTCAATATTTATTTTATTTTTGAGAAACTGTTACTCTTTTGGCATATTTTTTCTACTGTCTTCATTGTCTCTTATTCTTTAAAGGACCATTTGATTGTATATAGATATGAAGTTGGTATCTGTACCAGAAAAGAATACATAAACCACTGTGTTTCAAACTGTATTTTTAATGATAGAATGTGTTTTCCCTCTGCTGTTGTGTATACAGATGCCATATCTTTATTTGATCATCCTGTTGTTGCAGGAATTTTCCTGCACGGTAGTGTAGTGTATTCGACATATAAAAAGGCTTCTAAAGTTAGTATTTTCCACTTTCAGACTTAATTTGCCCTAAGGAAAAATTTATCAACCCCTACAAAAAATGTCCATTAATTATAATCACATAGCAATTAACATTTCCTGTTGCTGCAGGATTATTTTTCTGCTGTGTGAGATCAAATTAAGATCCGATATCTGTATGCTTAGATATCAGGATTAGTTTAATCGCTCTAAGTGGTACTGTCTACACCTCCCACTGCCCCCTCTCCCACTGCTCCCAGTGCTGAAACAGGAGTGGTGGGATGGGCTTGGGTAGGTTGTTGGGGCAAGGAGCTATTTGGGGGCAGAGAGTGGTGAAGAAAGAAGGGGCTGCTTCATTGATATACAGATGTACGATTAAGCAATAAGGCCAGAGGGGGTGTGGTATATGGCCAATATACCCACGGCTAAGGGCTGTTCTAAAGCACGATGCAACAGCCTGGCTACAGCCCTTGACCATATACCGCAAACCCCGAGGTGCCTTATTGCTTTTATAAACTGGTTACCAACGTAATTAGAACAGTAAATATTTTTTAAAATCTTATACCCGTGGTATATGGTCTGATACACCACGGCTTTCAGCCAATCAGCTTTCAGAGCTCGAACCACCCGGTTTATAATGCCTGTTATACAACGGGTGGGTCTAATCCTGAATGCTGATTGGTTAAAACCGCATTCCAGCCGGTGTCTATTCCACAAGTCACCACCGGCTAAATCTATGATGTAAAATGCCTATTTACTCTGTTCCTTCTGACTGCGCAATCCACTGTCTCATCAGCCCAGCCAGGCAATTTATAAACTTGATATCCACTATAAAAAGCATCTAGACATTATCGCACATTTCTTTTAGACTAACATTTCGTTTTCAACAGCAGAGATTTGTATAAACCTTGCTGTCTGTCTCTGACATTTGCAACATTGTTTCAATATTCAAATTCGATCTCCAGCTGTCCCATAGTAATGAACGTGTTGGGACGAGACAGACAGGCAGGCAGCGTTTCTCAGCCAGTCAAAATCAGCTGGCATCTATTTTATGGATATATAAGAAATGTAATTGAAAAAAGGTCAAACGAAACGAAGTGCAGCTAGTTTGCAGTCTTTCCAGCTTCAATTTGAAGTGATTGTGTTAGCGGTGTTGTTGGCTAGCTCCGACTGAACAACTGGGTCGCGTCTCTGGCAACCAAACCGATAGAACGAGTGACCAGCCAGCTTGGGTAGCAACCCTAGATTTGTGTCGGGACTATATCTTGTGGAAGGATGAAATAGTATGAATAAATTCATCAAAATAACGTTTTTAATGAAAAAATTTCAATCATTATTTGAATATGTTGGTAATCTGTTGTATAAAAGTGATAATGCCCTCAAAGCTGGTGTTTGGAGGACTTCGTCTCGGGCCTAACAACACCCGTGCCAATATATCCACCAAACACCGGCTTCTCGGGCATTATCACTTAAATATACCACGGCTTTCAGCCAGTCAGCACCCAGGAGCCAAACAACGGGTTTATGTTGATGACAATTTTTCTGCGCCGCAGGAAATGCAGATGAGCTTCGTGACTTACATAAATTCACTGAAAACCCACACTAACACATGGGTATATTAACAGTATTGCACTTTTCATGTAGCCTAATTTTGTCCAACCACCGATCAAGCAACATTATGGAATGTTCAAATCCTGTTGCAGCAGGATTATTTTGCTACAGCAATACTATTCAAATTAAGATCCAACATCTGTAAAAACAATGTGCTGAATGTAAAATGAACTGCTGGCTTAATTAAGAGTGTGCTCAAGGAATATGTCACTTTAAAATATAGCTTCTCCATTCTTAGTGCTCTACATACTGCCCTTCTAAAATGAAGGGTTTAGGTACTGTAGTCAACGGAATCAAGCTCTGTTTTATTTCATTTGCCAATTAGCGGCTTGCTTGAACAGCTGTGATTTCCCATTACTTTCAAGACTTAATAATAACACTAATAACAGATGTTAGTTAGAAAAAATAAACTTTGTGATTTCTGCCACTCTACATTTGTGAAATTGACCAATTACCCAAAAAGTATATATTTTCCTTATTTCTATGTTTGTGTTGATCACATCTTTAATTGAAGCATCGTTCAGTTTCATGTGATGCATATCAAGACTGTATTTTTTGGGAAAACCTAATATGTCGTCCTAGTATAGAACAATGCTGTTGCTATTTTTATCCTTGAAGAATGAAGAACTGCTTTGACACATGAAATGTCTTCATAGGATCTTAATCTTGTTCAAACAAGCTGAATAATAGCCAACCTACACTCTTATAAAAAAAAAAAAAAAAAAAATAGAACCTAAAAGTGTTCTTTGTCTGTCCATGGGAGAACCGTTTAAAGAAACATTTTGGGTTCCATGTAGAACCCATTCCACTGTTCTCCCATGGGGACAGCCAAACCATTTTTTGGAACCCTTTTTTCTAAGAGTGTATACATAATTTATAGTTCTGTGTTGTTTTGTACTCGTCCCTAGTTTGTCTTGCAGTTTGTATTTGTCAAAATGTTTTCTTCGACCAATATGGTGTACTTGCGCACACAGGATGTCAACATTGTACCTGAATCTAGTACAACAGAAAATACATGATAGAACATGGTGACATGGTTGGATTTGACTCTGGAAATCATGGTGTTCGCCTTATGTGTAAATTATGTCTTTGTAAATTATCTGCGTTGTTTTGTGGAAGATCTTATTTATAAAATGCTGCTCACATTTCAGTAAGATGTCAAGAACTCCTCTCATTGGATGGAATTGCCTCTGTGTCATAAACACACAAAATATCTAAAAGTTAAGTATTAAAAAATGATGGTATATCCTCTGTACACTTAGAAAATTGTTGTTTAATGAACATTCAAAAGTGGTACAGACATTTGTATATGAACTATAAAAGTGCTATAAAGTGCAATAGTTTATGTATTATTACTGATGCATATAGTTTCCTAGGTGGAATTCAGGAAATAAGTATTATGTTAGTGTGAGTGTATGCTTCATTACCCATGTGTGCGTGCGCGTGTGTGCGCTCTCATGCAGACACACACATTTGTAATTGATTGACATGACTGTTGATGACTGATCACCATATAATTTTCCAACATATTGCTGTACATTGGTCTGGACACAATGTGGTTCATTTGTGCATATTTATCCTGTATGTTAAACACAGTTATCTAAAACTGATTATAAACTGGGTGGTTCGAGCCCTGAAT